TGGACTATATTCTAGCATTATATCCACTCTCTCACTATTTCCATCTCAGAAAATGAAGTGGAATTGCAGCTGATGGCTAAGAGAGGAGCTGCGTGGCACGTGGCAGCCTACATGGAGCCTGGCAGGCACACACCTCTCTATCTGATAACTACTTGACTTACCGCAGAACTTCTTTAATACACTTTGTACCACTGCTGGGAGCAGTGTGCTCCTTGCAGATCTGATTTCTGAGGTCGGGAGGTTGCAGCTTCAGCTCAGAATCCATGGCTTAACGTGAATGAGAAGTTGACTCAAAACCAACTGCATATTCATGAGTCCATCACAACTTGCAGGCAAGATGTATAAAGTAACCTGGCAGAGGCTGGAATGTTCTCCCTGAACTAATGCGATAAGGACCATAATGAAAGACATAGGCATTAATAATTTTTTAGCTGTGTTATATTACCTGTACCTCATGTACCCCCTCAGCCTGTGTTTTGGCTTGTATGAAGCAAAAGATGGATCATTATTATTTTAAGCCTTCCACAAGTTCCACAAGAAGTTGGAGAAAGTGAATGCTAATACAGTGTGTAATGCAGCTTAAAAACACTATTAAAAAAAAAATAGTTTCAAGATAATCTGGGTTAATTTTTTCCTTTCTTATTGTTCTCAAAAACTTTTGTTTAGTTAATAAACTTCAAATTAGTTTTCCTTTAAAGAATTTAGTTGTGATCAGACTAGAAAAACATTGAAGATAACCTTTCTCACTACTGGAATCTTTTGGCTTCATCTCCAGGTGGAAAGAGAAGTACAAAGGCATACACAAAACATCATAACTAAAAAACTTGTATTTTTATGATAACACAAAAGAATTTAAGAATTTAAGGCCAAATCTACCAAAGCTTGTTGGTTCAATGACTTTTGGGAAGTTTTTGGTCAAATTTTTTTTGACTGTTTAAACAACTTTAATTTGTAATCATTCATATTATAGTCCTAATCCCCAGCAGATGTTGATCTGGCTAGAAGGAAAACTATATCCATCTCTGTCACCTTTTCTATCAAACATTGCTTTGTCTCTGTACCTTTTCTTAAATTTAGAAACCATTCTACATGTTGGCTACATAAAGGTCTACAGTAGGATTTTTTCTCTATAAATAAACCCTACAGCTTCCTTATGCTGGGAACCAGCCCTTGAAAGTACACACGGAGCTTTGACCATCACAAACTCCAAAGCCTCATCCATTTTCCATTTCATCTGCTCCTTTGCCCAAACCAGGGCTCTTGGCTATATTTTTAGCATCGCCAAGGTAAAGCAGCAGCAAGGCCGCTCTCGTGCTCTGTGCCAAGAGCTGGATGGTCAGGCAGGTCTGATCTACAGTGACGTGGAATGATCACAGCTTTCAGCATAAATGGGAACACCAGATGCTCAGCACTTCTGCACACCGGGTCATTATCTAATATTCATAGAGTCTTTCACACTGCAATCCGCTATACTGCACAGGAAGCTCAGGACATGGGCCATTTTCCTTGCTAAGCAGTGAGGCAATAAAAGGTTTATATTTGTAATATAAAGTATCTATCTCCTTTACCTACCCTGTCTGTTGTACAGTTTAGACCCTTCAGAGCAGTCTGTTAGTACTGACTTGTGCCTTTTTCAGCTTTACTGTAACAATTGCCACTGCTTTTCACTCCATTCCACTGACTTTCTCCACTGAAAAAAGCACTGCTCCAAGGGCCACAGCGAGTAAACTATCAAGAGTTTGCCAGCTGAGCTGGTAGCAGTAACAGGGGAGCTCAACAGAGCTACAGACTAGGACAAATGGTCATCTTTTTGCTGGGTTCAGGGGATGATACATATCTGCATTCCCACCTCTTGCAAAGAGTCATTCAGGTTGCCAGTCATACTAAAAATCACATTTGAGATTTCCTTTCAGAAGTGATAGTCCCGATTGATTCCCCTAGAAACATGTCCATCCAGACACTACAGATGTGATAGACATGATAAGGAAGCACCTAGATGTCTAATGTTCCACTGGAAACATCACCCTTTCCACCCCTCCCCACACACACACACACAAAACACATTTCAATTGCAGATCAATATCAGTTATAGCCACCTTAATAAAATTCAATAAATGTTCTACTTTATCATAACAATAATATACTTTTTAAAAAAACATGGCGCTGGGATGGCTTGTCATTTGGTCCCAGTCTTTTAATTCACCTAAGGCAATTAGTAATCCCATAGCAATGTTCCTACTATTTTCCTTCTTATTGGCTAATTATAACCTGAATTTTGAGTGTGCTACAAATGTGGGCAGAGCAATGTAATAGTAAAATATGGATATATTCAGTGGTAATAAGATGTGACGCAGTAAAATGCAAGTTAAAATGACATGCTTGGCTAAATGTGTTCAAATGGGTTTGGACCAGAAAGCTGCTGATGTCTTATACATCTTCAGAAAATGCACTTGAATATAGAAATCTAATAAAATCAGTGACTGTTTTCTTGCAACTAACAGAAAAAGAAAAAAAAAAAGAAAAAAAGAAAAAGGAAAAAAAAAAGAAAGGAAGGAAGGAAAGAAAGAAAACAGCAAAATGAATGTGCTAATTTAGTCACTGTTCTGCAGTGCCTCAGCTTTCCCTCCCTTCATTCCACACTCCATACATGGCTGGAGTATTTATTTTTAAATAGGATATTTGTTAGACACATTAGTCTTTAAGGAGCCTTGAAAACTTATGAGATGTTGCTGATGTCTGCTAAACTAATATACTCTACAGGTACCAGCTGCCCCAGAAAATTTTTACTTCTGCTGTTATGCCTGTGGTTTTAATAAGACAAAATGAATGCATCAGGCATAATGAAAGTCTGAATGCTGTAAGGGTAGAGGCATAGCCTGCTCGGTCAGAGGTCTCAGGAAAACACTGTGGTTGGGATGATTAAGAAGGAGGGTATGGTAATAGGTCAGCGATTTCAAGAGGGTAAGAGGAAAGGAAGACAGAGTGAGATATCAGAAAAACAAGGTGAAGATGGAGTTTAATAGAGACTTCAGACTCAATCTTCACAAGAATGCTACTAATTTATTAAAACTGGGATTATAAACAACCTATCAAATACAAACTCCACAGAAATTAGGAGCAAACTTCCACTGAATCCAATTGAGCAAAATGAGCAAAACCAGAGCATATGTGATCCAGCTAAAGGTATCTGTAATGTCCAGACAAACTAACTTAAATAGGCTTGAGTTTAGGGGTACCTCTCGTATTGAACAGAGCTCGTATTGAGCAGAGCAAGTACGTGCACATGGATGAGAATTTAGTCAGGGAGTTGGTAGTTTGATTTCTCTCCTAAATTAAAAAGGCTTGCTCTGAAGTGTATATACTGTGTTGTCTGTTCTGTTTGTGCTAGAATTGAACGGTAAAGATATAAACAATTTATAAGGGCAGTACACACTGAGTGGTTTCAAAACCCTGGAGGTTAGTGAATAATAAATATAGCTTTTGTTAGTACCCTAATACAACACTGTTTAAGTCATATATGATTACTGTGCTAATGTCATTTTTAGAATGAAATGGATATTAAAATGGAAAGTATGCGTTGAAGGGATCTGTGGAAGAAAATAAAGCTTGATTCTTCTGCCATTAACCTGAGTAGGAATGTGGCAAAGCTCTAATTGACATAAACTACTCTGTACTCTTTGTATGTTGTGGATGCAGCATATGAGACATTGTAATTTGTTCTGGGCCATGGAGGAAGTCAGGGTTGGATTTTTTTTCCTCTTCTGTTCACTTCTGCACTATTCCGCTTATGCTCATCCTCACAATGTCCAGTGGCATCCCAAGAGAAGAATCCGTATTTTTTCCAATATGGTTTGCTTTTGAAAGACATTCAGAGGGTTTGGATTTAGGGCTGTTTTTAGACTGAGTTTCTGAATACTTTTTTTTTTTTTCAGATATAATTTTTGCTGTTCTGTATGTTTTAGCAACCAAGCTGAGATCAAACTGAGATCAAATGCCTCTACACTGTACTTGCAAAGGAGAGTGGAAAAGTTAAGGACGGTCCTCAAATCCTCTGTGATTAAGACAGCCCAATCTCTTGCATAAACGTCAACCTTGTGAAGGGCAGTTTCACTATGTTTGACAAATGCAGTGATCTGTCAGAGTCCAATCCTAGAACGCTCAGCAGTAGTCCCAATTTTGGACCGTTGAACATTTTAAGACTAAAGGCAGGCATCTTAAGCTCGTTTAGAAATCTTGTCGAGAGCTAGTATAAGGAACACTGGACGGGCTAGATATCCTTTTGGCAGCTAGTGATGGGGTTAAGGAGCTTGGTCCATGATGCTAATGAAATATACAGCTGGACTTGCCCTATGTGAAGTTATTCAGGTGCTGATAATTCCATGTGTTCAACGGCACTCTTATGGTCTAGGCCACAGAGACTGGAGCATCCAAAATGCAAGCACAAAACCCTCTCCCACAACAGACCTTCATCTTCTCATGCATCAGGAAACCCCCATTTGCCACTCGAATTTGTCAGGATGCGCACCTTCCTCCAGCCAAGTAGTCACGCGCTGCTCTAAACATTCCCTGCAGATCGTTTAACCACCAGCTGCCCACCAGGGCCAAACAACTGAGACAGAGATTGGTCTTTTGCAGGTTCCGGGCCACGGGCAGTGGAAGAAGGGCAACAATACGTACTCACATTCATATGTATATGTATATTTTTACAATATGTGTATATTTATGTATTTATTTATAATTTGTTTTTATCCATACGCCCCCGCAATTCCCACATGGGGGGTCCCTGCTCCCCGCGCGCCCCGCTGCCCGGCCGCGCGGCCGTGCG